AATGTAATAAACTCCCTCAAAGGCTCTTCTCAGTGACAAGAATCCCCTGTAGGGTTGTGTTGGGGAGGAAAAAGAAGCTAGTAAAGAATTGAAACTCACCAGGAAGTAGTATCCAACGCCAGTCATTAATGTGGTCTGTTCAAGGCTCATGAATTCCCTACTCTGTCATGATCCTAAGGGTAGAAAGGGTTTCCTTTTGGTCTAGATCTTCCTGCTCTGGGATTCCTGTAGGCAGCACCTGCCTCAGCAGCGCTGCCACCTCCATATGTCCCTCATTACCTCTGGTGAATCCAGTGCTGCTGCGGTTGTGTCCCAGAGCAACCGCAAAGGGGGCCACGCGAGGAGGGCCACGCAGACATTAGTTCTGCCGGCCCGTGAAAGTTCCGCCCAGTCTTCAGGCCCAGAAGATACAGATGGGGTTAGGGGATGGAGCTAGAGAGAAGGGGTCTAGCGCGGAACCCTTTACTGACCTGTGGTGGGCACATTCTAGCCATTAAACCGCAGAATGCCTGAGCCCAACTACAGGCTGATGCCCCGCTCCAAAGACTTCCCTGCCAAGCAGATGCCTTACACTGTTTTCCGGTAGACAGACAGAAGCAAGTCTTTCTATTGTGAGTCGCTTCAAAGTCTAGATAGATTTAGGCTCTAGAAGGAAGAGTGCTGTTGGAACCCTGAATCTGGTGGTGCTTGGGCAAGATGTATCTTCTCTGGTTCTTTGTCTTTCTGCAAAGCAGAGGTCACAGTTGTTCTGTGTACTTCCCAGATTCAGAAACTAGATTGCACAAATCTGTCATCCACCCTGGGACAAGAAACTAACTAAACTCAATAGGCAACACGAAAAGATGTGGAGGCTAGAAGGGAACTTGTTGAGAAGGGATCCAGAGGAAGATGAGAGGAATTGGTGGGGTGTGTGAAAGACGACTAAAATCCATTATATAAACATATGAAACTGTTGACCAAACAAAAAATAAATTAACTATGAAAAAGGCTACTGCTGTAATCTAGTCCTAAATAATACGTATTAAAGAATCCTAACTTGGTAGTGATGTTTATGAGGCCAAGTGTCATTTATGATATGGATCCTCACCCACTGAACATTTAGTGTATCTGGCACCCAGTAGGAGGGAATAAATAAATGAAAGGTCATTCATTCCAACTTACTCAGATTATATTGAGTCTCAAAAGCAAAGGTGATTTGCTTGCCTGCTAACTAAAGGGATGTTTCTCATGGGCAATTTATTGAGGCTTCCAGTATCAGGTATTTTGTGTATTATATAATTCATGGAAAAAAGTCCTGTTGAGGATAAATATGAATGACACTAATTATGTATTGGGAGTTAAGAATTGGAGAAAATACAGAATATTCCTTTTCTCTGGAGTTTACTTTGTTGGAAGAATGGAATGAGAGATGATTTTTTTTTTGAGATAGAGTTTCTCTGTGTAGCCCTGGCTGTCCTGGAACTCATTCTGTAGATCAGGCTGGCCTCAGACTCACAGAGATCCTCCTGCCTCTGCTTCCTGAGTGCTGAGATTAAAGGTGTGTGCCACCACAGCCTGACTGAGAGATGATCCATTTTAATGTTAGGAGATCAGACAAATAGAACCCAGCTTAGGAGGTAAGGAGCGGGCAGAAAGAGGTCCCTGCAGATGCCCAAACCCTAGGAAAAGTGTAAAATGTTGTCTAAATTTTCTGAGGAGTGTACATTTGGTTGTTGGATTTTGCAATATGGCAGTGACTGCTGTCATTGCAAAAAGCCGCCTCAGAGGACAGATGGAGGCCAGACTCAACCTCGAGTACAGTCAAGGGAAAACAAGAGGTGATAATTTGGAGAAAATAACTGACTTCTGCAACTCTGGTTTTAAGGAAAGAAAGATAATCATGTGTAGAGGAGTAGAGCAAGGGAATTGTTTTAAGATGAAACTAACAATGAGTATGTGCTGGTGGGTTGACTGTGGAGGGATGGAAGCCCAGAGCCAGTTAAGATAAGACTTCTGACTGTGATCTCTGGAACATACCTTTTGTCACGCACAGACCCTTGTACAGTCTCAACTTTCTCATCTGACACTTTGTCTTTTTGGACCCATCACTGAGTTTGCCTCTGGGGGAACTCTTTTGCTAAAAGCTTGCTCAGTTTCTGGAACCAGGAGCTCTTGGGTATGAGAATGGAGAGTACAGGTTCTGTGAATTCTATGGAAGCTTCTAGACCCACACAACTTAACAAACAGGTAGCTATATATGGCTATGGCTATGGAACATTTGTCACATGGCTGGCTTGGATTGACTTGTGTTTTAAGTACAAAATGCACAAACAATTCTGAAGACTCCATATGATTAAAGGACTATAAAGCATATCACTGATGATTTTGACTTTCACCATATAGATGTTTTGATTTATTAAGTCAGACTATGTTATCAAAATTAAACACATATGTTTCTATTTACTCTCTTTGTGTGATTACTAGGATAATTTAAAAATATATACTTGGATTTTTTTAAATTTATTTTATTTTTATGTGCATTTGTGTTTTTGCCATGGGTGTGGGGATCCCCTGAAACTGGAGTTATAGACAGGTGTGAGCTGCCATTTGGGTGCTGGGAATTGAACTCGGGTCCTCTGGAAGAAGAGTCAGCGCTCTTAACTCCTGAGCCATCTCTCCAGCCCTACACTTGGATTTTTTTAATATTACCAATAGGTAAGGCTGTTCTCTATCTTTCGTAGTCTTGAAAACCACTCCCTTCTTTCAGGTTTTCCAACCTTTCTAATGTTTTGTTTGTTTGTTTGGTTTTTGGCCTCAATTTCTTCACTTTATTTTTTAAATTGTTTCTTTTATTTTTGAGATTATAATATAATTACATCATTTCTCACTTCCCTTTCCTTTCTCAAAAGCCTCCTTGTTCTCTTTCAAATTCATGGCCTCTTTTTCAATTAATTGTTTTTACATGTATGTATGTACACACACACACACACACACACACACACACACACACACACATGTTCCTACATATAACCTGCTCAGTTTGTGCACTGTTACTTGTTTGTATATTTTCAGGGCTGACCATTTGGTATTGGACAACCAATTGGTGTGCTCTTCCCTGGGGAAGACTATTCTCCACTCTCAGCATTCCTTAGTTGCCTGTAGGTTTTTTTTTTTTTTTTTTTTTTTTTTTTTTTTTTTTTTTTTTTTTTTTTGTGTGTGTGTGTGTGTAGGGTTGAGGCCTCCTGGGCTTTCCCTTGTCCACACAGGATCAGGAGGATTGCTGCAAAACAGTGGCTTTTAGACATGACAGCAATGTTGCACCCATGACCTCTCAATGTCTATGGTGACCTGCATAAGACTCACAAGACCAAACCGGCCAATATTTCAGAATGAATGGCTGAAGGGGTCACAGGGCTCTACTCCTACTGGAGAAGATGCGGGCAGCCAACATTTGTCTGGGAAGAGAGAGACAATTGTATCCAGTGACGGGGCCACTAGTGGGCAGCTCATGCTTTAGTGCTCAGCCCTACACTCCTGTACAACTGGGTAACACTAATTGAACTCAGTAGGTTATACAGTTTTAAAGACAAAGGATATGAATTTGAGAGAAGGATGTAAGGTAGAGATCCCTTGTGGAGTTGGAGTCAGAAAAGAGTAAGGGTGTGATATGATCAAAATGTATTGTAGTCATGTATGACGTTCTCATTTCGTCAACCTCTTCCTTCTCCTCTTCTTCCTTCCCTTCTGTCTCTTCTTTTCTTTCCTCCTTTCCTTCCTCCTCTTCACCTTCTTCCTCCTCTTGCTTCTTCTTTTCTATCTTCTTCTTCCCCCTTCCCCCTTTTCTCCCCTCTCCTCTTCCTCCTCCTCTTCTGTAGAGGAATAGCCACCCTAGTTCTCATTTGAAATGTCCTCCCCGCATCTTTCAAGCCCCCCAAATACTAATCTCCTGTTTGGAATTTTCACAGAATATCATCATCTTTATACCAGAAAGAATGTTCTCTATTCTGTCATCCTCCCATTTTTCAAATGCCTCTTTATACAAGAATCACTTACAGTTGTGATTTCTTAGCTGCTGGTTCCTCACCACTGCCACAGGGTGCTTCATCAATCTCTGACACCCCAGGCTTTAATACTTTCATTGCACATACTAGACATTCAGAAATGAGCTAAGCACTGAAATTGGTGGAATCAAAAAATCTTAATTGACAGTCATGGAGAACAACAAGTGTAATGCCTTGAGAGTCAGGGGAGAAAACAGACAATCCACTGTGGTTGCAAAAACACCAGTGTTCCTTAGCACTGCTTGCATTGCTGAGGAAACTTTTCTGATACCATGTTCACATTAGAAGAACAGACAAGCTGCACACAGAATAGCTTCCTGGGGAATGTTCCTCAACATGGAAAAGCAATTTGCTTTGCAATGGATTGAACATAGACTCTAATGATGAGGAGAAGTAAGCAGGGGAATGAGAAGAGAAAAAGGCAACAGAGACACATAGGACAGAAAGGAACTTTAATGAGGACAGGAAAAGCCATGGGACAATAAAGGTGTTGAATTGGTGAACTTTTGATCCTTGCTTTGTGGAGGTAGAAGCTAGCTTGAGGAGAAGAATGCAGAATGTGGAATGTGGTTTTCAGTCACAGGGACAGAAATTAAAGTTTTCCTCTGAATTACAGATTGTGCTCTAAATTTCATAGCCTGCACTCTACAGGTTACAAACAGCTTTTTACGATCTACTACAGATGACGTGCTGTGGAGAGCTGACAGCTTTTCAGAGTTGCTAGCTGGCAAGTGCTTCCTTTTGATAGTCTCTTGCTTACATAGGAAAAGTTTTCTCCTCTGGAACCTAGAAGATAAATGTGTAAACATTCCTTACACACCAAGGAGGTAATTTTTAATCTGCCGTGAACTTCCTTTTGTACAAGAGGCATGCGTTGTGCAGCAGCCTTGTTCTACAGAAATATCATGGGCCCATACATCAGGCATCAGCAATCATGAAAGTTGTTCATGTCTCCAGCTTTCAGAATAATGTGCCCTCCACGCCATCAGTAACAGTTTCTAAATTCTCCTCTTCTCTTCTTCCCTGGAAAAGAAAAAGCAGCCGTTTGCAGATGGCATCCAGTGTTTCAAATCATGTGAGTAACAGAATTAAAATAGTCATAGAGAATACAGGCCACGTTGTACTCAAAGAGTACAATCCAGAGTGCCATTGTCCTTTTTCTGTCTCATTCTCAATCCAATCTACCTTCTTTTAACCTCTCTATAGCTAACTTCCGGTGTGACTTTCTGATTTTTTTTTTTTTGTGGGGGGGGGGGTTGTTTTGTCTGCATGTGTGTTTGTTTACCACTTGCATGCCTGATGCCTGAGGAGGCCAGAAGAGGGCATTAGATCTCTGGAACAGGAGTTACAGATAGTTGTGAGCTGCCATGTGGGTGCTGGGAATTGAACCTGGGGCATCTGGAAAAGCAGCCCGTGCTGTTAATGAAATCACCATTCCTTGTGAATTTAGTGTTATTCAATAAACTCTGACACTGTGGACAGATGCAAGTCTATTTATCTACATTTCTGATACAGCATGCTTACACTTAGATCCCAGGGTTCAGCTTCCTCTTTTATGAATTCTGTTTTTGTCTGATCATCTTGTTTAATGAGTCCCTGTTGTCACCCATTACACACACTTCAGCTTTCTGAAGTCTTTCTCCTTTTCACCTTTGTTCTCGCCTTCCACCGAGACACAGGTCCTGAGCATGCTTTTCAAGTTATATGTTGTCTCAGTGAGGGTTTCTGTTGCTGTGAAGAGACGCCATGACCACGACAGCTCTTATAAAGGAAAACATTTAATTGGGGCTGGCATAGTTAATCCATTATAATCATGGCGGGAGGCACGGCACACAGGCAGACATGGTGCCAGAGAAGGAGCTAAGAGTTCTACGTCTGGATCAATGGGCAACAGAAAAAGAGAGTACCACTGGGCCTGGCCTAAGCATCCGGAACGTCAAAGTCCACCTCCAGTGACACACTTCTTCCAGCAAGACCACATCTACTCTATCTAACAAGGCCATACCTACTCCAACAAGGTTTAGCCTAATAGTGCCACTCCCTATGAGCCTACGGGGGCCATTTTCATCCAAGCCATCACACATGTCACTACTTTTGTTCCCTGTATCTCTGTTGATTTTTGAAACTGAACTTCTTTGACAATTGTTAGAAACTTTAGATAAATGTTAGATAATTTAAATCAATGGTTCTCAACCTTCCTAATGCTGTGACCTTTTAACACAGATCCTCATGTTGTGGTGACCCTCAACCATAAAATTATTTTTGTTGCTACTTCATAATTTACAATTTTGGTACTGCTATGAATCATAATGTAAATATCTATGTTTTCTGATGGCCTTGATGATCTTAGGCAACCGTGTGAAAGGGTCAAGATCTACAAGTTGAGAACCACCGATTTAAATAGTTTCATCTTTCTTTCCCTGGGAGTGGTGGATGCTGCTTTCTTTCTAGAGACTTGTTTATACTAATTGTGTGGAGTCTGTTTCCTTTGGAGCTTGCCTCTGATAAATCCTCACATTTTCATTTTCTGATTCCTAGTTCTTCTTTTAAGACTAATTTTTCTAGTCTGCTTCCCAGGGCTAGCACAATTACTCACTTGGTCATCAGACAGAGGCAATATTAAAAACACTTTGTTGTGGTCTGAATTACAGTCCTCGAAACTCATACATCAAAATCCTAACCACTGACATATTGGAATGTGGAAACATTTGGAGAAGAGGTCTTTAAAGGGGCAATGAAATTATAAAAATGTCGTTTGGCTGGGCTGTTGTCAGTGTATGTAGAAGAGATCAGGATGCAGACTCATTCAAGGGAAGGCCACACAAGACACTGAAGGCCAGCAAGAGGGAGAGGGGCTCCGACACTGATCCCATAGCACTTTGGTCTTGAAATTCTAGACTAGAACTGTGAGAAAATAACTTTTCTTGTTTAAGCCACATGGTGCTTTGCTGTGGTAGAAGTAGAAAAATAAGACACATCTTCAGTCAATAAAAGCTGTTTAGTGCACTTGAGAAATGTTTGTAAAGTTTGGGTCATTTATGTATACTCCAGCTTTCCCCTTATTTTTGAAGGCTTTTTATGAGCCAAGGTGGGTAGCTCAGTAGGACTCTCTTTAGTTTCCTCTGAATGTCTCTGATGAGTTTCTGTCAGTTTCTTGTCCCAACAGTAATATGGTCTCCTATGATCTTAGCTGTGATGAGTGAGTGTCTTGGTCTTACCTGCCTGTTTGCCATGGAACTTTCTGCTGTTTTAGTAACACCCTCCCTGAGGAAACTTTCTGTGTTATGCCTCAAGTAAAATCAGCGCTCAAGCAGTAAGGTAAATCCTCCAAGTCTTGCTCACCAAGGTAAAGTTCTTTTCAATTGAGTTTAAGGGCTGGAGGAATAGGGCTGCAATGGTTAATCCTAATTTGCAATGCCGGAAATTTAGAATCATCTATGAGACACACTGTTGGGTATGTTTGTAAGTTGGTGTTTTCAGAGAGGGTTAGCTGAGGAAAGATCCACCCTCAATGTGGGTGGTACTGTACTGTGGGCTGAGGTCCTGGATCCTATAAAAGGAAGCAAGCTAGCCAGCTGAGCATCAGCATTCACCTCTCTCTGCTTCCCACTGTGGATGCAATGTGTATTCTGTAGCTTTATGTATATATTTATGTGTATTTATGTGTGTATTTAATTTGAATGTGTGGACATGATGAGAACAATGTTAAGGGAAGAATCACCATATATATGTATATATATTTATATATATATATGTTTTTGAATTTTAAATTTGCAGTTTCATATATTACTCTTGTCATTTTGTTTTATACTCATATTTTATGGCAAAAGAAAACAAAAGGTAAAGGAAACATCATATATTACATTGTTATTAGTTCCAGACAGTTGTAGAATGCCACTTATCTCCTTAAGTTTGCTTACTAGAAACCAAAAGCCCATGGGTTGCCAGAGGAAACACTTACCAATTGTGAACAGTTGCAGATTGAGTATGAGAGGGCGACCCCAAATTCCAGGGGGTAGGAGAACAACAGAATACGGGACACTTCCCTCCCCAGCTTCTGTAACCAGGAAACGGGGAGATGATGTATCATTAGTTTTAGCATGTGCCCCCTCCCCAAGAGGACCCTGGAGTGCAAACAATATGGGAAGTAGGATGCAGCTGGCTATGACAAAGCTGTACCCAGAAGAGCTGAGAACTCTTCCAGAGGATGAGGCCAAGGCTCATAGAGTCTTGGGAATATTGGTTTTTGATTATTAGCTGTTTCCTGCTATGAATTTCTTCTGTGCTATTGTAGCTTTTCCATCATTCATTGGGCACAATTTTCCCCATACAATTAAAGTATTTGTATAACTTTCTCCAACTGTGCTAACAACAGACACAGTCAAAATCCCTAATTTCAGGCTTTTCTATAATAACCGTCATTAGCAGCATCCGGCCAGGACCATCCCTGGACAGATGGAAGTATCTTTTTGTTTTGTTTTGTTTTGTTTTGTTTTGGAGACAAGGTTTCTCTGTGTAGCTTTGGTGCCTGTCCTGGATCTCGCTCTGTAGACCAGACTGGCCTTGAACTCACAGAGTTCCGCCTGGCTCTGCCTCCCAAGTGCTGGGATTAAAGTCGTGTGCCACTGCCGCCCGGCGGATGGAAATATCTTATCAGAGATACTTCTGTACTCTCTAAGAACAGACTTAAGCATTCAGACTGTTTGAGAAGGTCTGGCAGATGTGCTAATTAAGTTTAACTTTCTCCTTTTCCAAATCTTATCTCTAGCTTTAGATCTCCTTTTTAACAATCACCAGGTGCATCTAGCTGTGATGGAAGTTGCCTAGCCAAGTTGTCTAGAGACCAAGCATACTTCCCCTGCCTGGCCAGAAAACAGCAGCAGCTGAGATAGCTTGGACAGATAAGGGGACCAAAGGAAATAAGAAAGCAGTTTTATTAATATTTAATAAAATATTAATTATTTTCACCAATGACCTAGTGACTTACAGGTTCTATAGGTTCTTAACATTTCACCTAACTACTTCTAAGAATATAGTTTGAGCACATAAATCCCCTTTGGTCAGATATTAACTGAATTTAGCCCTCAGTTGATTCTATTCCCCATTAGTCCCTTCCCTTTGGGTTGCAGATGATGGCTGGCAATTACTGCTCTCTTGTGTGGATCTTATTGCCCTTCCTTTTGACCCTGAGGAAATTCAAGCCTGGTGACCTTGCCTTAGCCACAGCATTGCTATTGCATGGGTATATAACTGTAACCCTCAGAGACCTGAGGGAACTACATTGGAGGAGAATGAGATTGGAGGACTAGAAGAGAGAACTAGAAGCATGAGATGGAAGATGAGGGAGAGCCAGATGGGGAAGAACTAGGTGGGTAAGAATGAGATGAGAAAGACCAAGATGGGGTAGAACTAAGATGAAGGAATTAAGATAGCACATAGAGGGAACAGCAGAAAAATGTAGAGAGAAATCAGGCAAGAAAGGAGCTAGGCATGAGAACAGAATAGAAGCTGCGTAGAGAGAGAACTGACTCAGAAGAATAAAGTGAATGGACTAAAGAATTTCACGTACGTAGATTCATTTCATATCGTTTAAGATTCTTCCATGGACCCTGGGAGAGGGCTATCGAGGGGCTGGACCCTAATAGTCCATGATACTAGAGTAAGAGTCAAAGAGAAGGAGGAACATAGGGGCAGGTGACCTTCTTCCCCTGTTTGATTTCCCTAGGCATTTCTAGTTGTTTGCTTCCAGCTTCGTTTGTCAGATTTTCACTTTTCCCAATTCATCGTCTGTGAGTTCTGCACTTGGTCATCATCACCCAGCTCTTCTGTCCCACTGCTTGCAACTTTTTAGTTTCATGAATGTATTCACTATCAAAACTCTTCAGTTAATCTGGTATTATTATTGTTATTATTATTAATTATTTGTGTGTGTGTGCATGTGTATGTCTATGGGTACACGCACGCCATGGTGCTCATCTGGAGGTCAGAGGACAACTTCCAGGAGTTAGTTTCCCTTCTTCCACTATCGGTTACAGGGTTGAACTTAGATCATCAGGTTGTGAGGAAAGCCCAACTTAAAAAAATATTACTAGTTTTTGCTCCATTTTTTTTGGTGTGTGTTGTGTATGTATGTATTATGCAGATATGCATATCTGTGGGTGCTTGTGGAAGTCCCTCTGAGACTGATGTTAGGAATCATCCTTGATTGTTTTTCCACCTTATTCAATGAGGCAGGACCTTTCAGTCAAACTCAGAACTCTGTGATGTGGCTGGTATTGCTAGCCAGTTTTCTCTAAGGATTCCCTGGCTCTGCCTTCCCAGGCTGGAATTGCGGGTAGGCTGTTAGGCCCACCTGACATTTATGTGTGTTTTAGGGATCTGAACTCTTATACATACACTTGCACAGCAAGCATTTTAACCACCAAGTTCTCTCCATAGCCCCCAGCTCCCAGCCCCTGGTTGCCCCTCAGAGGTTGGAGGTAAGCCTCTGTTGCTGAGGATACCACACACTGAGGTATACCACTCATTAGGACACACATTAGGACTCAGGTTATTTAAGTTAGGCTAACCTGAAAGCCTCCTTCTTGTCGTCTAGCTTTCATAGCACCAAAAAGTCCCATGTAAGCTGCCCCTATGAATTTTCTTGTCCAGCTGTGATAACTATGAACAACAGTAGTGACCAACATGGCAAGATGTCCTTAAAGGTGCAATAGTGGCATTTACATATTGGCTCTCTAATTGGCCTTAACGCCTACTCAACAGGATGGAAATCATGCCTGGTACCTGACACCTAGTCAACCTGCCCAGGACTAGTGAGATTATGAATCTTACAAGAGAACCTGCTCCCATCACTTTACTAGACTGAGGTAATTCCTAACTACATTCTAAAACTTATCCTTTTGCCCACTATTAAGTGTAGCTACCACTCTTCATAAAAAAAGAAAAAAGCTTCTCTTTACAGCAAATGGAGACCATCACAGAAAACCACAACTGTATCCAATGCAGAGATCAATGGATCACGGGAAGTTCGGCCCCAGTGAGTACATCTACAACACAAATTCTGCACCTAAGGCTGAGGAAGAGGGGGTGGAAAGATTGTAAGAGTTAGAGTACCAGGAAGTTTGGTAATAGACTGTGTCTCCCAGAAATGGCTGCCTAAACAAGACCTGAACAATGCCAATGACAATAGACATGCTAATCTCAAAGGAGGAAATCTCATAGGTTCCCACCCCTGGACAAAGAACTACAGACAGGTAATGATTGTTGAGAGAGGAAGAGAATTAGCTTCTCTCAGAGATGAGCCCCTTAATTGGTTATCCAACACAAAGTGGCCAGCCATGAAATCATATGCACACATATAACAAAAAATGGACTCATCATGTTGTATTTATGTATTTGTTCATCTCTTTTTCTATATGTAGCAGTAATAAAGAAAAAGAGTCCATCAATTTGAGAGGGAGTCAGGGGGTCAGGGGTTGAAGGGACAAGAGGGAAAGAGGGAAATGCCATAATTCTATTTTAATTAAAAATATATTTTAAAAGATTTATTTTTATTTATATGTATGTGTATGTATGTAAATACATGTTCAGGTGCCTTCTGAGGCCAAAAGAGGGCCTCAGATTCCTTGGAGCTGAAGGGGAGCTCATAATATCCTGGTTGTGAGTCATCCATCATAGATACTGGGAATCAAACTCGAGGTGCTCTTACCCACTGAGCCATCTCTGTAGCTCTGATAAATATTTTTTCCTCTTGAGACAGGGTTTCATGTAGCCCAAACTGGCTTTGAACTTTCGTGCATCTCACCAGAAACTCTTCATCTTGCTGCCTTGCTTACTAGAGTGCTTCGGTGACAGGCAGGCACCAACACGCTGGCTTAAGTGTGGGAATTTTTCTTTGCCAGCACTAATATTTGTGATTCTGATTTTTTTTTTCTGGTAAGGGTTGGCTTTATTGACTTCTGGTTCAATGAGGAAACCAAGCCTTGGAAGAGAGCTATGACTCACTCAGGGAATGCTCCCATGAACTGCATATCAGTGGCTTCAATGCAGACTGCTTAATTTCAGAGCTCCTGATTTTACTTACTAGGCAGTTTGAGAAATCAGCAAAAGCAAAAATGTATTTGTCTCACCAAATAAGCTCAGTCTGAGACCACCATTTAAAATGATCATGGGAGGTACTGTTAGGAAATAGTTCCTGAATTTTTTTGAGTAGATATCCTTCTCTCTGAATTTCTGTATCATGTTTGCATATATGTGGGATGGAGAAGTCCACCAACTTTCGATATATGTTACATCATTTGGGCTCCTTCCTGAGTCTTGCAAGGAGGAACCGCTTGGAATGGAGGCTGGGCTTCCCCTAGGCCTTCTCTCCATGCTTGCTTCCAGGAGTAGGATAGTTTCTGGTGGCCCTTTGCAGTCTAGAGGCAATCACATAGAAGATGTCCAACAAATGAACAAGTATTTCTAGAAAAATTAATTAGGTGAATTTAATTTGCATTTTATGGGGATAATAAAAATAAAGTGTCTGCAACCCTAATCAATTTAGCCTCTCCATATCCAAACAGCATTAAATGATATCATAATAATGCTTTCTGGAGGTGTAAAGAAATAGAATACCATTTATATTTAGTGTATTAGAACTGGATGTAAAAACATCATTTAGATTGGTATTAGAAAAGAATATTCCAGATCTCTTCTAGCTTTTCCTTTGTTGTTTCTTTTCTTTTGTTCTTTAATTCCACAGTTATATTAGTCTCTCCACTCTAGTATTGGACTTTTGTTTTGCATTTTCTATTTCCGTCATTTGCTTTCTATTTTCTTCCAAGTAGCTGTAAACCTCCCAACTCCTGCCTCCATTTCTATTATGGGGCTTCCACCAGGTTTCCACACAGGCTTTCAGGTAACCTCATTGCTAAGGATTGCACATGTGAGATTTCAAGGGTGTATGAAGACTGTGTTTCAATAGGTACATAGGTTAACATGTGCACTGTCTTCTCCATGAGTAAAGGATAGCTTAAAACAGAGACAAAGGCCAGTACAAGGGTAGCTCAAAAATGG